AAAAAAAAAAAAATCACGATACACTTTGTATTCTGTGTTGTAATTGAAATAAATATATTTGAAAATGTAGAAAACATCCAAAATATTTAAATAAATAGTATTCTATTTTTGTTTAACACTGCAATTTATCGCGCGATTAATCGTGATTAAAAAAATTAAATCACTTGAGAGCCCTATTTCTAATTATTCTTTTTAATATTTCCCTTCCACAGAAGGTTTTGATGTTCCTAGTTCCCCACCCCCAGAGTTTTCTGTGGAACAGAAATTCTGACTTTCCACCAGCTCTACTAATGACCCTCAATTCCCATTGATGTTGATGGGATTTACTTTGAGTTTTTGGACTGAGATGGGGGGAAAAGCAGACAACAAATATATACCAAAATAGACAGTGGCAGGTCTTCAGTGCTTCACAAAACTGGGCCCTTGACCTACAGCTGTACGTAGAGGTGCTAAGGCAATAAAATGAAATCTTATCTTGCTAGACAGTGATTAGTGACTATGGAAATTAGTGTGTTAATTGGCAAATGCCTCTCTTTCGCATGCTGCAGCTCTCTTATGTGCAGGGATTCCCCATTGACATGTTTTTGCCTCCTAAGGAAATCCCTTCCCCACCACTTCAGACTTCAGCTTCTCCTCCTTGCCTTTGAAGACCTACATAGCTCTGCCCAGCCCTACATCTCAGACCTGACTTATCATCAAGTCTGCTTCATTCCAACCTCATGCCAGCCTTGCCACTTTATCTGCGTCCTTTGCCCATTCATCTCTGTACTTTTTTCCATGCTGCCTCCTATGCAGAGGACAGCATCGCTGTCCAAATGTATGATGCCCTCATCTCATCCAAAGCTCTCCCAATGACCCACCACTTCTGTAACACTGAAACACAAACTCAAGTCTGACAAATGTCTTGTTCATGCCAACATTTTAAAGAGAGATATTAAAAAAAGTAGGAAGAAGGGTGGAGTCATGGTAGGGGGGTGGGAGAAGAATTCCAGTAGGTTTCTTAGTATCTGTGTGTTGGATTGGGAACTGCATAGAGCAGGGAGTGGTCTTTGTGTGTCCTGAACAGCACTGAGTACACTGATGATTAACAAATAAAACACCGACTCCAAACCATATTTCATAGATTTTAAGACTAGAAGGACCCTTATAGTCATCTAGTCTGACCATCTGCATAACACAGGCCACATAAAACCTCATCCAGTAAACTCTGCACCAAGCTCATAACTTCTGTTTGAGCTATAGGATAACATTGGATATATAGCCTGATTTAAAGACAAAGTGACTGAGAATCCACTGCATCCCTTGGTAAATTATTCTAATGGTTAATTACCTTCACTGTTATATTTAGCCTTATTTCTAGTCCAAAAATGTCTAGCTTCAGCTTCCAACCACTGGTGCTCATTATGCCTTTTTCTGCTAGATTACAGAGGCATCTACTATCACAATATTTCTTCCCTTTGGTTACTTTCTACAAGAATCTACAAGTAATCCCCTAACCTTCTCTGGCATAAACTAAACAGATTGAGCTTCTTAAGTATCTCACTTTAATACGTTTATAAGGACAAGGCAGGAGAGCTAATATATTTTATCGGACCAACTTCTGTTGGTGAGAAAGACAAGTTTCCAGGCTTCAGTTCATTTTTGTAGCTCTTGTATTAGTACTTTCAACTGTTTAACATCCTTTCTGAAGATCTGATTCACCCTCTTAGCTACAGCACCACACTAGGAGTTCATGTTCATTTGGTTCCCTATCATGATCCCTAAGTCCTTCTCAATGTTTCTGAGTTCCTGGATACAGTCCCCCATCTTGTAAGTGTGACTTCCATTTTTGGGGACAGTTTTATGACATTACACTTGGCTGTATTAAAACATTTGTTCAAAAGAGCCTACTTTAGCAAGCATTCCACATCAGTCTGTATAATGGGCTTGTCTTCATCATTAACTAATTCACCAATTTTTTGTCATTTGCAAATTTCATCAGTAATAATTTTATATTTTCTTCCAGTTCATTGATAACGAGATGTAATAGCTTTGGGCCAAGAACAGATCCCAGCAGGAATTTACCAGATATTTCTCTATTTGATGACAATTCCCACTTGCTTTTTGTCACTAAACCAGTTTCTAATCTATTTAACGTGTGATACGTTGACTTTGTACAATGCTATTTTTATATCAGAATGTCATGTGAGATGAAGTCAAAGTGGGTTTTAGACCACGAAAGCTTATGCCCAAATAAATTTGTTAGTCTCTAAGGTGCCGCAAGGACTCCTCATTGTTTTTGCTTATACAGACTAACACGGCTACCACTCTGAAACCTAAGTACAAGTAGTTATGTTAAGTTACCTTTCTCAACAAAACTTGTGATCTCATCAAAAAACCACAAATTTCCTTGATAAGACCTGTTTTCCATAAAACTGTGTTGATTGGCATTAGTTATGCTACCGTCCTTTAATACTTTACTGCTGTGTCCCAGATCAGCCTTTCCATGATTTTGCTCAGGATCAATGTCAGGTTAACCACACTACAGTTACATGGGTCAGCCTATTTACCCCTTTAAAATATAGGCACAGCATTAGATTTTCTCCAGTCCTATGGCACTTCCCCAGTGTTCCAAGATTTGTTTACAAAAACATAAGTGATTGAGAGAGCTCTCAGCTACTTCTTGTAATACTTTTGGGTGCAAGTTATTGGATCTTGAATATTTAAAAATATTTAACTCTCTCATTTAACATCCTTCCTAGTTATTGATGGAATGGGAAATATTTCATGACAACTGTAACATATGAATGCATCACTCTGCTTCTTTTCAAATACAAAACAAATATGTAATTACTACTTCTGCTTTTTCTATGTCATGATGGACAATTTTACCATCAAGAAAAGGAGTACTTGTGGCACCTTAGAGACTAACCAATTTATTTGAGCATGAGCTTTCGTGAGCTACAGCTCACTTCATTGGATGCATACCGTGGAAACTGCAGAAGACATTATATACACAGAGACCATGAAACAATACCTCCTCCCACCCCACTCTCCTGCTGGTAATAGCTTATCTAAAGTGATCATCAAGTTGGGCCATTTCCAGCACAAATCCAGGTTTTCTCACCCTTCGCCCCCCACACACACAAACTCACTCTCCTTTTGGTGAGTGAGTTTTGTGTGGGGGGGGCGAGAGGGTGAGAAAACCTGGATTTGTGCTGGAAATGGCCCAACTTGATGATCACTTTAGATAAGCTATTACCAGCAGGAGAGTGGGGTGGGAGGAGGTATTGTTTCATGGTCTCTGTGTATATAATGTCTTCTGCAGTTTCCACGGTATGCATCCAATGAAGTGAGCTGTAGCTCATGAAAGCTCATGCTCAAATAAATTGGTTAGTCTCTAAGGTGCCACAAGTACTCCTTTTCTTTTTGCGAATACAGACTAACACGGCTGTTACTCTGAAACCTAATTTTACCATCCTTATCTATTTGTCCTGGGCTCACAACTCCGCTAAGGCTCACTGCAAGAGATGCAAACTTAACCCAAGTTTCAGGTTACTACTGAATCCTGAAGCCGGGCCAGGGGTTTTGATTTCATTACGAACATTTTGCTTAGCTCCAGTTCTGACCAAAAAGGAAGGCAAGTTGGGTTAGAAAACTGTAAAAGATTATGGTTTTAACTTTATCTAGTTATGTAACCAAAGTCATGCCTAATGTCGGCAAGTAAAACCCTGATGGAAGTCAAGGGTCTGGCATTCATCACCACCAGGTCTAAACTTGGCTCATATCCTATTATCCCCACTGGGTATTCTGCCAAACTCTTGTCATTTCACTTTTTGCACTTTCACAAATAAGTGTTTGTTTATTATTAGATTTCAGCTATCACAATTGAATCTACCAATTAGCATATCTGTACCCCTCTTAGCCAAGAATGATATTTCGCAGTTAAACATCTGACCTCTACAATTTTTGTACTCATGTACTATACGTCCTCTTTGCAAGAGGACTGCTTTCCCATAATTGCATCCAGATAGCTCCATTGGTAACCTCAGGTTTATCTTCAGTGATATAAACCGGGGTGTCAAACTGCACCAATTCCAAATGCAGTATTTAAAAGTAGTTAAAATTTTGGGATTCTTTCCCCTTTAAAATGAGTCAGAAATTCACTTCTAGGAGAATTGCGGGGGGAAAAATTAGTTGGAGTTCAATGGTGCATAAACTTCTTATGAAACAGGTCTTAAGTAGCTGTTAAACTCCATTAATACAAAAAAGCTATATTCTCCAAGGTTCTAACAAATGGAGAAACTGAATGCTTTGTTGGCCATCTGCCATTAACCAACAGCTGGCAAAGAGTTGATCTTCTAGGCATTTTAGATATGTTGGCATTGTAATACCAAACAGCGTGACCCCTACCAGATGATCTACAAAATATTTCCTTTTACAAATAGCATCATACGTTTGTTACCTGTAAAATCTGAAGGTATTCTAGTATGTGGGTAAGTCGTAGCAACTAGATTTGGGCTAGAAGCCAAACTCCAGCTAAATTCCCTGCTCACATCACAACCTAGTGTTGCCCTTGTATAAATTGGCAGCTTGATCTGGCAATTATTCCAAAAGCTGAATATTTAATACCATAATCAATTACCAGAAAATTACCATCTGAATTTGGATCAAGAATGGTCATAAGCATTGAGCCTCCACATCCTAAGGTCAAGGAGAAGGAAAAAACAAGCATAGAAAAGAAAAGATAATAAAAGCAAAAAGAAAAGGAGTACTAGTGGCACCTTAGAGACTAACCAATTCACAATTGTAAATTGGTTAGTCTCTAAGGTGCCACAAGTCCTCCTTTTCTTTTTGCGAATACAGACTAACACGGCTGCTACTCTGAAACCTGTAATAAAAGCAGTAGCTGTGAGCAGGGTACGTGCAGGGCAGGAGCTATAGGTTTTGTTTAGAGAGGCATGCTGTCTAGCAGCTAGAGCCATGGAAGGAAGAGTTGTATTGCTGGCTCGGACACTGACCTGCTGTATGATCTTGGCCAAGTCATTTAATCTCTTTCTTCTCCCATCCTTTGTCTGCACTCTCTCTTTAGATTGTAAGCAGTTCGGGGCAGAGATTGTCTCTCACTATGTGTTTGTACAGTGCCTAGCACAAGGAGGTTTCCATCTCTGTTGGGATCTCTAGGTGCTACTGTAATACAAATAATAGGAAGTTTCTAAATGGAGTTATAGATGGACTCTCTTGATAGGGCTTTCTAAAAAGGTGAATCACAATGGTGCAAATACAGCTGTACACATCTAGCACAGAAGTATTGTTCTATGTATGCCAGCAAATCCTGGAGGGGTTTTATTTTAGAGTGTGGCTATTATTTCATTTCTAAATGGGGGAAAAAGAACCCAGCTATTAATCTCCATCAAATCCCTGTTCAGCCTTGTCCTCTGAACTGTAAACTAAGGAGGTACATGTACAAATCTGGGATGTTTTCCAGAATCTCTTTTTAAAGAGCACGATGTAGTCTTACTTTATACTGATTGCACCAAGAAGAGCTCTCTGGTTGGTCAAAATGCCATCAACAGACCTGATGATGCTCCCGGAATGCATGAGCTTCATAGTGGATAAAAACTGGGGATGGGAAAGCAGGTTTTGCCAGAGTTGGCTACAACTCACTTCACAGTCCCCACTGCTCTACCAAGATCTTCACTCAAATCTCCCGTGTTTCCTCATGGGCATATTTTCCCAAAGATAGCAACACAGATGGGTTTTTGTGACGTTGTCTGTAAAGTGAGCTCACGATGGCTTGATCAAAACCTGCCCTCCATTCCAGAGAGCTAAATACTATGGGTACTGTGCGTGTTTACACTAGTACTAGCTTCATTTTCACTTTCACAGATGCCTCTTTTGTACTGAGGGCTATTTCAGCAACTTGTATATGTTCTGTTCCATACCATATACATGCCTGCCTGGGAGCTGGAAAGAAGGAGCATCATGAAGTCACAACTGATGCTGTGACAGCTGCACATCATTTATGAAAACACCCTTGCAAAAATCGAGACAGAGTGTGGAGACATAGTGCCAATCAATTCTACCCCTAAGAAATGGACCAGAGAAATGTTGCCATCACATTCTTCCCTGTCCTTTATTTTTTACTCATTCTGGAACCTGTAGAGAGATGAGAAGTAGATTTCTAATAACGTGACATCTGCTTTTCTTCAAAGTCAGTTTGAATTTTCAGTGGTGTGTGCGCTTGACAGGTGACTACATTTCTGCTGAACAACATACTAAAATGCCTGCAGCACAGTAAATTACCTGGGAATATGCTCATCACAATCCATTATTCCTCCCGATTCCCAGTCGATTGGGTATGGCGTAGCACTGCTGTTCTCACTTGGGCAAACACATAGGAAGAGTGAGTAAAAAGTAGCCGAAGTTACAGCAATCATGTTGATTCAGATACCAAAGCAGCTAAACTTATCATTCTTGGTGTCTTACAGACCTGTTGTGCTTTGTCCTGTCTTCCTCGGCTGTAAGGTCCATCTGTAATACCATTTCCACTGTTCATAATGGCAAACAGTATCTTGCCAGTGTCTGAATCAGTGTAGCTACAACCTCTACTTCTTTCTACCTGTCACTCCCTAGAACTGTAAAATATTCAAATCTCATTTTTGCTACAATAGCATATTTCTATTGAAAACAATGATTTTTGCCACTTTCTAGCCAGCTCTAATAACAAGCACCATTCTAATTAGCTGATATAAGGACAACAGCTACATTTTTGAGGTGTTTCTTAGCATAGTTATGTGCAGCCCTTTTTTTTTTTTTTTTTGGACAAGAGGCCGAGTCTGAAACTATTAATAAGTGAGAATATATTGTTTAACTGACATTTCAGAAAGTTGTTTCCTCTTTGCAGCTGGCTCAGGGATTTTTATTTTTCTGCCTTTGAGTGAAGTGTCCAGGATTATTCAGGTACCCATTCCCTATGTTGCTATGGGAAGTTTTATGCACTAGGTACCAAAAATCTGCTCCCAGATGTTTTTGATTAATAAAGCAAGCAAGCGCACACACATGGATCTCTTTGGGGGTCTGCTACCCTACTGGTAGAGTTTAACCATAATGCAGCCATAACCCTAACGGTAAAGAACCTTCTTAGACGAGAGAAGAATTTTACAGCTGTTGACAGTATCATTTGAGTTGCACGGATGAATGGGAGTTGAAGACAGAATATGGCCCCAAAGAGCCTTTGATTATCAAACGGAAGGAGTCTGAAAATCATGGTACTTAATACTTTGTGGATATAACCTGGGGCTGAGATATTCAAAGTGATGCAAGCAATTTGGATGGCCAGTTCCCATTAAAATTAATAGAAATTGGGTACTCAAAACCCCCTGGCATCTTTAAAAATCTCACCCGTCATGTACATTGTGCTGCAGAAAGATTAATTAAATAATCTAAAACTTTACTGCAATCTTCAGTAGTATATTTAAGCCTAAAGTTATTTTCACTGTTAAAGCACTATAAATTGGCATGATACAATCTAAGTAACATGTTCTGCAATGTAAGTGCCCGAATTTTAAAGCTGGTTAGGCACTTAACCGCCATTGAAGTCAATGGGAATTGTGGCACCTAAATACCTTTTGAAGATCTGCCCCTGAGCTCTCTGGGTTCTTTGTTATGCATTTATACACTGTGTAGCACATGGGGCCCTGATCTAGGGCTGGAGCCCCTAGGCACTACCAAAATGCAAATAAAAAAGTCTCTTCCCATTAACACAGGGATGAGCAAACTTTTTGGCCAAAGGGCCACATCGGGGTGTGAAACTGTATGGAGGGCCAGGTAGGGAAGGCTGTGCCCCCCCAAACAGCCTGCCCCCCCCATCTGCCCCTTCCCGCCTCCTGACTGCCCCCCTCAGAACACCCGACCCATTCAACCCCCCCTGCTCCTTGTCCCCTGACCGCCCCCTCCCAGGACCCCCTGCCCCAAACCGCCCCCTCCCAGGACCCCACCCCCTATCCAACTTCCCCTGCTCCCTGACTGCCCCCCAGCTCCTATCCACTCCCCCTCCCCCTGACAGCCCCCCCGGGACTCCCATCCAACCCCCCGTTCCCCATCCCCAACTGTCACAGAACCTCCGCCCCATCCAACCACTCCCTGTCCCCTGACTGACCCCCCAAGACCCCCTACCCCCCCCCCACCTCCCCATGCACCACTGCCGCCCCCTTACCATGCCGCTCAGAGTGGCAGGAGCTCGCAGCCCCTCTGCCCGCACTGTGGCATAGCTGCAGGGAAGGGGAGACAGCAGGGGAGGGACTGGGGACTAGCCTCCCTGGCCAGGAGCTCAAGGGCCAGATGTGGCCCGCAGGCCGTAGTTTGCCCACCTCTGCATTAACACGTACCCAATGGACAGATATGATGAATGAGTCATTGGTTCAGACAAGAGATCTGTGGACATACCACTGGTGAGGAGGCAAAGCCTTTGCAAAAGTGGGTCTGGAAGAGATCTGTCAGAGAGGAGAGGGAATGGGCTTGGCAGCACAGGACGTAGGGTGCTATCCAGAGCACAGAATGAGAAGTTCAGTAACTGGTGAGGACTGAACAGTGAGATGCTCAACTACTTTCTGTGCTCACTATTTGGGTCTAAGTACAGAATGAGTTTTGGTTTAGGAGTACAGCAGGAATGCATTTCTGGGAACAAGATACAGAGGTCATACACTCTTGGGGTGGTAGCAGCAGGACAGGAACAGAGCTATACCTCCAACTGACGCTGCATATTTCAATAGGGTTCCCCACCTCACCAAAAAAAAAAAAAACCCACCACCAAAAATCTGTTGCCCTGTTGTTACCTCTCGTGTTGCTGAGCAGGACAAAGCTGCCACACTGGAAGATTGTGAATGACAGATAATCAACTGCCTGATGACGTCCACATGGCAATTGGAGAGGAATACCCTTCAGATAGTTTTCTTGAGGTGGAAATGTATATTATTTTGTCTTCTGAGCATCATTTCAGCAGGAGCTCCTTGCCAGTAGCCAGCTCTTCCTTTGTTATTACTTTAAGTGGCCACTCTGCTCGCTCCGTGCAGGTGGCTTCTCCCTAGCAAGCAAATACAAGATAAGGTATCAGCCCAAAATATGTCATCATGCATTCTTCTGCCAATCCCTCCATACATTGACCCTCAGTTTTTGTTTGGATTTATTTTAATGACTCCCATACTGGGCTGATTACCAGACACAAAACAGATCTAGCCATCTGTAAGAAAGTCCACACTAAAGTGAATGCTCTTCTTGTTACCTGCTTCCATTATCTAATTACTGAAGTGCTTTCCTACATGCTGTGCTAGTGATGCTGAACAATAAGGATTCAATTGGTCTAATCTCAGCCAGCAATTTTAAAGTTTCAAAGTAATTGAAAAGCCCATCCCACCCTTTTTTCACACATTACACATATCACAGGTTGGTTTGCCCAGAGGTATTTAGGGAGCCATCTGGCCAATCAATAGGTTAGCTGTGTTTGCCATTAATTTCAACTCTATTTCAAGTCTCACCAACAAATACCAGGGTGTTATCACCCAGTGCTACTAATTGTGTGCGTTCCCATGTCTTGTTTCTGGAAGACTTTCCAGCACATTTCTTGTAGCAGTTCTCCTGTTTCCTTTCCTGAAGAGTAATGAGATTTCTTCTCTTTCAAGAAAAATTGCTAGATGTATAAATTTAGCTCTTAGCTTCAGCAGAGAGGTGCTGGAGAATCCACAGGGGCATAGCTCAGATAACTGAAATTGCATAACAAACATCCAGCTTAATGAAATGGTGATGTTGTAACAATAGGAAAACATCACAGAATACCCATATGACAATATTAAATAAACTGACATTATAGCTCTAAGTGCCAGCCGTTTGATTAGAGGCCACGCAACAATTCCTTTGGAAGAGAAATTCTGTGCTCAATGGGCTGTTCACTCTGTTAGCGAATGAAACTATCACAATGGCAACTTCCCACATAATAATATCTGAGCGGCAGACACTTTTGCCTGGCACAAGAAAACAAAACCATATCCAAGGATAATCCACCATCAAAGACAGCACCCTCTTTATGTGATCTACTTGACAGCTACAAGAGTAGAAAGAGAGTAGTTCGACATGAAAAATCCCAAGGCATAGAATAGACACTAGTTTTATCATACAGTAGGCTTTATATTACAGGAGTGCCTAGACATCCCAGCCAAGATGGAGCTCCATTGTGCTAGACACTATACGTACAGGCACCTGAAGGCAGTTCTGTCCTGAAGAGTTTATAATCTAAGGAGGAAAAGGGTAGGGAGGGAAACAGAAGCACAGAGAGATGAAGTAGCTTGCCCAAGGTCAATAGTAGAGCCAAAGAATAGAATCCACATCTTCTGGGGCAATGCTCAGTCCACTAGGTCATACGGCCTCTATCAATACTGAGCAGGGCTAGTCAAAGAAAGCACTCTGCGTGCATTTGTGGGGAAGTGGAGATACCAAGCATGTCCTGGCCTTTAAGGATCAAAGCAAATACAAATGTATGGATTCTCCTTTTACTTACAATGGGGTAAAACAAGAGCAACTTCCCTGAAGTCAGTGGAGTTACACCAGTTTTACAGGTTTCAGAGTAACAGCCGTGTTAGTCTGTATTCGCAAAAAGAAAAGGAGTACTTGTAGCACCTTAGAGACTAACCAATTTATTTGAGCACTGGTACGAAAGGAATATGAAGCCCCTTAGATCCTTCCTTTGCCGTAATCCAAAGAAAGGATTACATAGATCAGAGAAATCCAATTATATACCCATCTTTGGAGGAATCAGATGCCTGCTCACCCGCATTTCTTTTAGGAAAGACCTGCAAAGCCACCCACTCCCATTAGCCTGCTTGAAAAAGTCTTGTGTTAGGACACTGACAGTTTGGAAGAAGGAGTAATCCCCTCATGGCAGGATCTAAGCAGACTTCCATCAGCCCATCATAATGCCCACTGAGTGGGTCCACAGTGAGATGCAGAAGATAATAGAACAGAAATGTCAGAAATAATTGAGTGAAGAGGCTGCTCTTATTTTGCATTAATGCTCACATACGCATGCACACACCTTGTTAGCAGGCAGTTTCGAAAGAAAGTTCATTTTATCTCATCCTCCTTACTTTGTCCCTAAAGCAACCCCTTAATACCAACTTTCTGTTCTCTCCCATCTATTTAGTGGGTGGGCAGGCGGACACCTACCTTAGCTAACAGTCAGTTGGCTTTTAGCTCATGCGGTAGAGGCTCATGCACTAAGCTCCAGAGGTCCCTGGTTCGATCCCGCCCGCTAACGACCGGGGTCTGTCGGCAGTACACTACTATGAGCAAATAGAACTCCCCTGGAATCAACGGAGGTGCAGCCACTTACAACAAGGCTGTATTTGTCCCACTGGGTGCAATTCTGCATCCCAGCTGATACACACACAGCTCTGGAACAGAGTAAGGAGAGAAAGGTGTCTCCATGCCACCACCGCAGCTCCGAGTATTTTGGGAGTAGGGCTACTCTAAACTGTGTTACCCATGGCCGCCTAAGGAAATGGGGGCCAAGTGGCAGACCAACCTTGCAAAATCTGCTGGGTTGAAATTGCATAGAGAAAGACTATATTGGGCTTCTCTTCATCTTGAGATTTAAGGTGACTTTTTAGATCACAGAAATTAGACAGAGCAAACAACATGCATGAACTTCCAGCCTTGCAGTTTGGCCTGGAGAGCAGGACTGACCCAAGGAGATAATTACCTATTGCCCCTGACAGTGTAGTGATAATATGGGACACTTTTTATAGTAGTTCCCATCTCTATTTGCCACCATCAGTTGTTAAATTGAATGGATACGAGCTGGGGTGGGCGGGGGGGTTAGAATCTGGACACACTTAATCAGAGTAATTTTGATAATCTTCTAAATTCACTTGAAAACCATAGAAGGGAAGGTTACACAGGAAAAATGTATCTATTCCAGAACTCAAATCAGCTTTTTGGGAGGTGGAGGGATAGTTGATGAATAAATGCGATGCTGATTCGTGACACGGAAGGACATTCTCTTTTACAAAAATCACGTTTGAACTACTTTGTGGGGAAATATGGGTCTGAGTGAGGGAGAGAGATAAATGTATAAATAGCTAGAACAGATTTTTGGAGAATGAGGCAATAAATCAAATCCCCATAAATAGCAGTCAGAGTCATGTACCATAAAAGTGACCTAAAGCAGAGCAGAAAGAAATCACCTTTGGAGATCATAAGACTCTAAAACCGGACAGCTTCAAGAGGGCAACTGGCACATGATTTATAAATGAAAAGGAAAACTGCAGAGGCAGCAGAAAAGCGGGGGAAATGAAAACAAGCCTTTTTCACTTCAAATTTTTCTTGGAAATTTTAGTGACTATGGACCAAATTAAGTCAACAGGGATTCAGAGGACGTGAGAGAGAAAACATAGTCCACTATTTTATTTTTTTAAAGAAATTTTGCTACTGAAACAGTTTCTTATGGGAACTCCTTAATATGGGCCTGATTCTGCAAGAAGCATGGGGCCCAAACCAGCAAGTGGCTCTCTGAAGTCAGAGTACAAAGGTCTGTCAGCTATCATCATTATTTATATTAACATGTCATATTATACGACAGTTATATTGGAGGCCTCCACCTAAATCAGGACTACACTGTGCACTGAACACACACATAGTAAGAGACTGTCCAGAAGAGCTTATAACCTAAGTAAGTGTGACAGAAGCACAGAGGTGAAGTGGTTTGCATGAGATCACACAACAAGTTAGTAGTAGAGCAAGGAATAGAATGTAGGTCTCCAGAGATCCAACCCAGTACCCGCAGTGGGGCTGTGTACATAACGGCTTGTCCAAGCAGAATCAAGACCAGGGATGGTTTTCAAGAATTCTGCAGTCTTCTGTACACTGATGTTTTTTTCCCTACATCTTTGAGTCATGGGCGAAGACGGATGTTTTTCTGAAACGCAGCTCATAATTTTTTTTCTACCCTGGTTACTAAGAAATAACATTATGCTCTTCTGTGAAGCTGACCGATATTTGTCAGATCATTTATTCATTCATCTGAAAGGATACAGAGGTTGAAATGGATTTGATGATTAAAAAAAAAAAAGTCCACATAGACAACTGACTGTACTTCTCTATTGAACACTCTGCCCTACAAACACTCAGCCTCTGAAACACAAGTACAACCCCATGATTACATGTCATATGTACCCACATTTCACTGAAACCAGTGGAACTGTATGTTCTTTGCATGCACACAGTGGGGCACTGAAGGGTCTAACAACCTGATCTTCCAACATGCTGAGAACGCAGGCCCAGATGCATCACAGCCATTCAGCTTAGGCTTAACTTGAAGCATATGAGGAGTCCCGTGCATAAATAGTCCCATTGACTTTCAGTAGCAGTACTCAGTGCTTTAAGTTAAGCATCTGCTGAAGTGCTTTGCTGGATCTGGGACCAGAGGGCTCAGAACCTGGCAGGACTGAGCCCCACAAAGAGATGAAGTAGAAAAATCTGCCTCTCTCCCACTGGTGTCATTTGCTTTTCACACAGTTCAACATGGACATTCTTTCTTTCTGTTATTTTGTTAGTGGCAGCATAGACCATAATGATATGATTTACTGGTGTGGGGAGGGGGCAAGTATTTAAAATGCATTGTTCTCGTTGCTCCACTGGCTTTGTTCTTGGTATTTTCAGTTTGCTTTTTATGAAATGTTTGGTATTGATTTGAAGTTGTGGGCAAATGGTGGCATAATACACGTGGACTGAAGCAATCAGCTTGATTTACTTGCCCATATTTTGGCATTTTCTCCTCCAGTTTCCTTGACTGAGGTTGTTCTGCCATTTTATGGTATAAAATAACTGCCTACTCATTCATCTCCATGTCTCCCTCCCAGCTACCCCAATATAAATCTTCACTTGTTAGAGGAGGTCAAGGAGAGACTGTCTTTTTGGAAGCATATCGGGTTAGTGGTATCAGCAGTGGAAGAAATTATGGTTCCAAAAGAAAAATTTCACCAGTAGCCCAAGGTTCAAATATTGCTTGGGGCAGAGATGGCCCAACTC